CTATATGTAATAATTTTAACTAAATTTAAAATAATAGTTAAGAAGAGATTAAATATTTGTGATAAGGAGTATGCTTAATAAGTTCTGTAAGCACCTTATACATTCATTTCTAACTAAATTATATAGGTGTCCTGTATTGTTGAAGGTTGAAGCTAATACTAATGCAGTCATTATGGAAGGTATCTCAATAGCATAGAGCTACAAATTAAGTATTTAATTTATATTTAACTGATTCAAAATGTTTAAAATATTTGAATTAGGATACCAATCAGAAGTTAAATAGTTTTATTTGGCGGCTTTGGAACAAGGATCAAATGAGAAGATTACATATACAAATAAATATCAAAGTTGCGAATCATTTTCATAAAATACATATCCTATTAAATATCAAATATTTTATCTAATTTACCTTTTCCTTAATTTTTATATCTCAACAGGTTACACTTAAATTTAATAGATATTTAAGTAATCTTTTATTGTTTGCAATAGATGCTATAAACTATATTCTATAAGCTATTAACAGAAAGGAGGAATAAGCTAAAGTATTTCTCATCTCTCTCAAACAATTCTTTTATAAAGTACTTTAGTTTAAAGTTTATAAATAATTAAAAAATTTCATTTTAAATATCTTGTTCTATAAATAATACAATTTTAATTTAATATTAATTATTATTACAATCGTACTTTTACTGGTTGAAGTATCAATTTATAAGTGATTTTACTAATTAAAGTGAAATTAAAAATGTTTAATTTGAAGATTTATAGCTTTCTCAATGTGAAAGCTATGATTACTTATATAGTAGTATAATTTATATTGCTTAATTTAATGTAATCATTACTTCAAAAATCTTAACAATGCTCTCTACTATGTTTCCATTTCTTTAAATGCAGTTTTATTCAAATTATTTATTATTTATGAGCTTAGTGATAATAAAGTAAAAGATAGTAATTAGTTTAATCTCTTATTAATGGCATTTTTGGTTTAAAATATTATTTTTTTTTTAATTATCAATTCCCATACTTACTACTTTCTTACTACTTTTATATTATCATGCTTGTTTGTAATGCTAATTAATATATCACCATTTCAAATTCGTATAAGTAATTTGGAGATATTATTTTTTTCAGAAATTTCAAAATGGAGAATTATAATGAGGAGATATTTGTGTAACTAATTGTTTAAAATAATTTGACAAAATTTTTAAATGGGCTCTTTTTAAACCTATTCAATTATCTTCCCTTTCTCGTAAATTTTAAAGTTACAGGATTTCTAACGACAAGATAAAGCAATTACAAAGAATGAAATTCAATAAAAAAACTAAGAATATTATCAGAATAAATTTAAAATTAAATTAAGTTGGGTTTTCTCCTTACAATTTAATATACATGGACAACTAAATTAAAAGTTGTAAAATTATTATGAGAGTTTCTTCTGAAG